GTTCATCATACATGTAGTATCATTTCCTTTTCATTATGGTCATGTCTTCATTTTTGTTTACCAATTTTCCAAGAAAGTTTGAATTGCATCTTTGTTTATAACTACTTAAGCTGTCCGTTTGTGGAGCTTTGTTTGTATTATGTAGTGCTTTTGTGTGCGGGTTTTTTTGTGTTATTGGAAGAGACATTTTATTTGCAATTTGTTGTCTTGCAATTATGTTTTCCACTTGGTGAGTTTACCAACTATGCTTCCCTTATGAATCGGTCAACCATATTCGCTAACAAAAATTTTTGGCTGAATATTTTAGGATCAATTTATAGTCTATGTGGTGGTTTTTCTATGTCAACTAGACATTTTGGTGTTAATATCACTGAAGGTACCTACTTTGGTTCACTTTCACTTGAAAGATCTCATCTTCGTCTTTATTTTTGGTTCTTGAAAATTTTTAAATTTTGGTGAGTTAGATTTTATTAGTTCAAGATCGCATTTTTTTTTGAGCAAGTGTTTATGATTACTTTATTTTTCGTGCTTTTTTTGATAGAGATATTAAGATGCATCAAGGTACTTGGAGAATAAAAAAATGTTGTATCTTGGTGAGCGGTAGAAATTTACTATGAGTGGCCTTTTTTGGCAATCTAAAATGGTAAATACTTAATCTCCTTTCCTACCCTATCCACACTGCCACACCCAAACTACTAATTTTTAAGTGTTTCCATATTTACCTATGGTGTCTTTAGCAAAATCCGTTCTCCCTTCTCTTTGGGATTGAATATTGATAGTTTTGTCATTGTTTGGGTCTTAGATGTTGATTGAGCGCCATACTTTATGGGTTGAGACAGTGATGCAATGTTGTTTGAGCGCTAATTTTGTCTTATATTCTTTAGTTTGTCTTTCATATTTTTTTATTACTATTTTGTTTCACACTGTAGTTGAAAAACTTTATGGCAGAATCTGTGGTGGAGTTGAGGAATTTTGGTAACAGGTATTTTCGCCACAAATGAGGCGAGGTCATCCTAGATTTCCTTTCTTTTCATATCTCAAAGAATCAATAATAAGAAGAAGATCTTGCTTTAATCTTGCAAGATTTTAGGACTTTACGTATTTTTAACTAGGGAAGGAACTCTTGGTGGAGGCCAACTGCTCATTGGGTTTCACGATACCAGTGAAGTGGCATGAGCCATTTTTGGCTCCCACGTTATTGGGTGGTGTTTTATATTTTGTTAGTGAGTAATCCTACGTAGACATAAAAATTTAACATAATTTGCTAGCATATTGATGTGACTTTAGTGGAACTATTGAATCAACGTCAAGTTCTAATGCTTGATGAGGCTCACAATCAATTCAAAGTCTATAGTGAATCAGGTCTGCAAATTAAGTCAATAAATTATGTCTCAATAGCATTGCTCTTTGGAGTTCAAAAAATTAATGCATTAATTGATGCTTTTTTTTTTTGGATTGAATTAATTGATGCTCAAAGTGTTCAAATGTTGAATCCCTTGGTTTGTGGTCCGGTGAAAATAAAAATATTTTTAAAATTTTAGTGTTTTATATAATGTTCCACATGGTTTTGGGTTGAATTTTTTGGAAATTAGATGTTTTGTTTTAGAAAGTGCTTGTTTAGAGTTTCTAAATTTCTAGAAGTATAACATGATTGATGGTGATTGATTTAGTTTTTTATTGTGTTGAGCGTGTTTTTTTTGTTTTTTTTGTTGGGCAATGTTTTCAGGCACTAGTCCATCGCTAACCAAAAAAAAAAAAAAAATCACCCATTAGAAAAAACATTGAGGCACGGGTTCATCACTACATTAAAATCAACTAAATACTATTTACTTCCACCAACGTCTTGATAGCTATATACCAAAAATGGACCTGTGATTTTGTTGTTAAATGTCAATTTTCTTGTATATTTAATGGTGTATTGCAATTTAGCGGGCTGTTCAATTCTGTGGTTTTTGTTTATGCTTGAGTTTGTTGTTTGGCTTTATTATAACCTTGAGTTCATTTTGTTTGTGGGGGTGAATCAATAAAGAAAGAAAGAAAGAAATGATATAAATAATATTTTGTTGAGCATGTATATAACGTGTGGGTGTATTAAAGATGTAATTTAGGTGTTTAGTGATTTGGTTGAATCTAATGTATGCCTATGTTCAATGTTTTGTTTTTTGATCTCCACATTAATATTTTCTAATTATACAATGTTTTCAGGCACAAATTATCACTAATATTTAATAAGAGAACAAGTGCCACTTTATGTTACCATCGGCAGTGTCACTTTGTGTAGCCGTCTATTAACAAGGGAGCAAGTGAACAAGGGAGTCTTATAAAATTCAATAACCATCTTGAAAAATTTGTGTAATAATTTCAATTTCAATATAATTAAAGAAGTTTTTCTCAATATATCTGAAGAAAGATAAGAAAGAGTTTGAACATGATTTCTTGAAGGGGTGTTCACTCTACTCTACGGATAAGAATTATAGTATTTAATCTTGCTATGCGATATTTTGCGAAAGAATTTTGTTTTGGTCTATTCTACCCGATCAAGTATACTATTCGTACTCAAATTTTGTCCAAAACAATTGGGTAAGAAATCGGGTAAACAAATATTTTTTAGTTATTAATTTTTGTATAATTTTAGCAATTTGATTAAGTAACCTACACTAATTAACTAACATAATAAACCAATAATACTAAAAAAAAATATAATAAATTTGATAATACATAAATAATATAATAAAATACAAGAAGAAAATTATAAAAATCAATACATCGTATAGAAGAAAGCCAAAAATATTAATAAAACATTAAAGTTTTTAGATTTTTGGATTTTAATTTTTAGGGATTAATATATATATATATATATATATATATATATATATATATATATATATATATTATTTTCAAAATATTAATACATATATATATTAGTCATAACCCGTGCTTGAAGGCACGATAATTTGAGCACCCAAAAACTCAATTTAACTATATTAATTTTTTTTAACATGTGTATACTATCGTATATGAATAATGCTTGAAATAAAAATTATATTAATTACAAATTAATCAAATATTAAATGATTAAATATATTATAGAAATGAGTGATGTGATTTTTTAGGGAAAAATGTATAAATAATTAAATATATGATAGAAATGAGTGATTTGATATTTTTAGGGAGAAGATATGTAAGAAATAAAAATTCAAGTTGTTATCTGTTTTACTATATATGTGTTTTATTATATATATATATATATATATATATATATATATATATATGTGGGTAGGGTAGGGTAGAAATATGAAAATTTTGTAAGTATTTCGTTTTCTTACCCGATTTTTTGTGGAATACCAAAAGATCTTTTATTGGCTTTCTCGATTCTTTCAGGTAGCCAATTAATAAGGTCAGATAGGGTAGGATAAGTAGGAACTGAATTTGGGGGTAATCAAAAATTTGAACACTCCTATTTGAAAACATGTGAGAGGGATTCAACAACCAAATATTATTTAAGTTTACTTAATTGGGAGCGAAGAAATTTAACTGAAATGTGAGAGATCATTAAAGTGGATAAAGGTGCATGAATTGGTGGGGGCAAATCTGAAAATATAACAATTTTGAGTGGGAAAACTACAAAAAGTAACATTTATCAAAAGTGACTCGCCGGTGGGTAGAAGCAAATGTTCTTGTATGAACCAAGGGTAGACAGAGATAATGTGTACATGTTCAAGAATAGATAAACACAAAATTATGGTATGTCCATTAAGTAAAGAGAAATTACCAAAATGTCCTTACCAAACCTCCATTCTAAATGTACGACATATTTTTCACCTATAGATAAAAAAGTTTCATTAAGAGCGAAAAATACAAATAGGGTAAAATAGGGTACTGGTAAAGAGGTATTCTCTTGACATCTTTTTTGAGAAAATCAAGGGTGACCAAATAGACTATACCAAGTCGGTTACAACATTAAGTTTATCCAGTAGTCGAGAAATCAAATATTGGTCTAGAGGGAGAAGAAAAAAAAGGCTTCGGAGGGATTTTCAAAGAGTCTAAACTTCCCTCTAACATTTCGACAACTCTAGTCATTGATGGCCTGTTTGAGGGATCATTCTGTATGCACCACAAGCCAACTATTATCATCTTTTTGGCACTTAAATGTTCGCCATCGTTCATAATGACATCCAATCCCAGTTCTTCATCTACTTCAAGTTCTTTGTAAATCCAATCTGGAAAGTATATTTCACTGGTTCTATCAACATTTTCTTGAATGTTTTTTCTCCCTCCTACCATCTCTAGAATCATCATTCCATAGCTATAAACATCGGATTTATGAGAGACTCCTCCAAAGTTTCTGCAAAATACTTCTGGAGCAATGTACCCAATTGTCCCTCTAGCAATCAACATCGATACAATGCTCTCTTTCTTGAGGCATAGTTTAGCAAGGCCAAAGTCCGAGATCTTTGGACAGAAATCTTCATCTAGAAGAATGTTATGAGGCTTTATATCGAAATGCAAGATTCGAGTGTTACAACCACGGTGTAAATACTCTAAGCCTCGCGCAATTCCTATTGCAATTTTGTACATTTTCTCCAACCCCAATTGGCAATCTATCGAGGAATTTCCATCGGATATGAATTTCTCAAGCGATCCATTAGGCATGAACTCATAAATAAGAGCTCTTTTGTGGCCCTCGAAACAAAATCCAAGGAGAGAGACAATGTTAACATGGGAAGTCTTACTAATACTTGCGACCTCATTTATAAATTCTTCTCCACAGCCTTTTGATTTGTTTAAAACCTTCACTGCAACCAGCCTGCCATCTTGTAACTTTCCTCTGTACACACAACCATAGCCTCCTTGGCCTAGTTTAACTTTGAAGGAGTTGGTCATCTTCTTAATGTCCGAATAACAGAACCTTTTTGGAGCCATGGAACCGTAATTCTTTAAAAAGGTTTCAACATTTTGGTTTTCCTCAGTCTTCTTCCTCCATAAGACCATTAGTTTACCTCGTGTGAATTTCTTTCTGAAGTAGATGAATGTAGCTACCAAAATGACAATTCCAACAGCAAAAGCAACTGCAGTCAATGAAAGAAAAACTTCTTGAAGGCTGAAATTGATTACTACTTTCACTTTTTCTCATAAATACTTAATTATCTTAGATCACGTGCATGACATTTGATGAATAAATTGGGACACATTGCTAGCATTTAAAAGAATTCAAGATGTAATGTGAGACTTTTAGTGTTTGTGGAAGTATCGTAAAGATTTAAAAAACATTGCCTATTGGAGCTTTTATGACCAGATCTCTTGGGCTTTATGCAATACAACCACTTACTATTAGAACAATCACAACAAAACGGGTTTTTCCAAGTTACCATGATGTTTTAACCCAAGACCTTCTCTGTCACAATTTTCCCAAGTTACCACAGGGCGGCCCAATCTAATTTGGGGCTAAGTGAAAATGTTATACCATATTCTATAAATATTTATTCAGTAATAATAGTAATATTAAATACTTATTAAAATATATTTATTTAAAAATTATTTGTTTTGTGTTTTGAGATATAACATACTAATTCAAAATTTTAATTTTAATTTTACAAATAAAAATTGTGTTAATCGAAGTCAAATATAAAGATCAAATACAATAATACATACTATTTGTTTAAGATAAAAGAGAAACATAATTAAAAATTAGGTTGACTAGTAAAATAATTTTTTTATAAATGTATATAAAAATAGAAATTTATACAAGTTGAGTAGTCCTAAAATAAATGAGATATTCTTAGATATCATTGAGAAAAAGAGCAATTTTTAAATAAAATGTTTTATTAAGACAACTATGGTTAATTAATTTAAAATAGCTAGTGTATTACTTCTACTCACTTTATTTTGTAGTCATCTTGTGCATAGTAAACAAAGTTATTAAAAAATGACTTCAAATTTAACTTATACAAATATAAAATTATTATTCGTATCTATTATACGATAAACAATTGATTTTAATAATAAAACTACAAAGTGATAATACATATAATATAAATATCGGGTAAGATAAAAAAAATAAGTTGAACTTTAGGACCCTAAATTTTTTTAAAAGAGATTATAAAAATTTTATAATAATATTAGTTGCACTTAATTTGAGAACTAAGTACATTAGATAAATAGTGAATTTTGTTTAAACTTAGCATTTACTATTAATTCAATAATTAAAATATATTAAGTATTTAAATTATATTCTAAAATAATAATTATTTATTTTATTTTGGGACCCAAATTTATCTTTTAATTTGGGGCCTAGGCAATGAATTAAGTGGCCTAAAGGTTGGGCCGGCGCTTAGTTACCGTTGTTAACACGAAATGGTGGTTAATCCAACTCTTTGATACAAATAACTTCTTAAAACAGAGTTTTGGACAGAAAAGTTTTGTGAAAATTTTTCAAATTCAAATATTACCAAACCTCTTCAATAGTTCTTCAATTATATTATCATTTTAAGACTACATCACTCGATTTGGGAATAATCAAAACTGTTCAAACACCTCTACATTTGCAAGTGCACGGTTGTAGAGAAGGGATAGCTGTATCCTGGAGGTTAAAATAACCTGCTGCGTCGGATTTGTATTCAGAAAGGTGAAAATCTACTCTTAAGGGTATTAACTATCCGCAACTATATTTGAAACATAGAGAAGAAATTATACTCATATTCCACAAACCTTTGAACAGACAGAAATAGACTTCCCTTCGTCATAGAAATTAAATGGAGAGGAAAAAGTGACAAACCTAGAGAAATCAGAACACATGTTTAAACAATAAGAAAAATGGGAGGAAAGTTTAATCAACTTGGAAGTATGATACATCCTCATGCGTAAACGTATAAATTCAAGAGAAATATTACCTATGAGTAGGATGAGTTTTAATTTACTTTTTCCTGCAATAGAAGTCAATCAGAAGAAGAAAGTTAGTCCAAGCACAGATAAAATCAATGTAATGAACTTTGCATTTAACACCCTAAAACCACAACAAAGTAACATTTAAAAACTGTCCAATTACACAACAAATCCAAAAGGGTCAAAATTTTACAGAGAAAGAGAAGATGTTCAATCCTGTTCTGCATCATACCTTGGCCTTTGTCACAGTGGAATTCGTTACCGCTGACAGTTTTACACAGCCCTCCAGCAAGGTTACACTCAGAACACTGCTCGGACACATGTAATTGAAGAGAGAACTCACCAGTAATTAGTCCAAAGAGGTTATTGGGATCTAAATCCCCGTTGAAGTTTGCCTCATTAAGTGGAAGCTGTATAACTGAACAATAAGATGGAAGATTCCTCGGAGTCATACGGCGATTATAAGGATGTGTGTAGTGGATGGAGAAATCAGGGCAGTCGTAAGATTGGTAACTACTGTTGAAATATTCATCTTTCTTCTGAGCAAATTCAGGATTTTTGGTGCATTTGAACAATGTGTAATTGGGAGAGAATGTATAGGAAATAGAAGGAGTGCTGGGAAGACTATTATTATAGAAAGAATCACAATTGCGATTCTCTAAGAGATGCTTAAGCTGTCGGTCAAGCACCAAAACGGCATCATTCTGCAACATTTTTATAGCTTCATACCACCGTCCATTTGTTTCCAGTTGGACCTTTGGAGTTGGCCTTGAATCACAGTCCATCGTGCACAATCCGCACTCGGGCCGCGACATACTGGTGAAAGGGAAGCCCATCACACCGAGAGACTCACACGCGAATGACACTGGGCAGTCATGGTGGGTTTGCTTTCTTTCTTGAGCATTGTTAAGAACCACTAGACGAGAGAGAATGAAGAAAATCAAGAAAGAAGACAGAGCCATTCTGAAATCCCAGTAAAACAAAACCCAAGATAACAAACCACAACAATCACAAAGAACAATTCAGCTCTCTCTTCTTCTTTTTTTTTAATGTTCTTTCATAATTATATTTAGATGTTTGATGTTTTAAACACGGCAGTTGACTAAGAAATTTGGGTATGGAAGACTTGTAGAAGCAGAGTTAGGAGAACCATGTGGGGTTCTGATGAAAATATCAGCACACATTCATTGGCCATCCTTCTCAGAAAAGTTGACAAAGACAACAAATAGGGTCCATATGGAGTCTCTTGAAGTATAAATACAAAAAACTTTACACTCTAGAGATCAAAATAACACGGATTGAATATTTTAAAGACTAAATTAATAAAATTGATATAATGAGAACTAAATTTATAAAAAATATGTACTTTAAGGGCTAAAAATCCTTTATTCGTATTTGATATTACAAAGGAAGCATTTATAATCTTAATTATCAATTGATAGGTCACTGAAGTAGATAGCAATCATAGATGAGAGAATGGCATTTCAAAGCAACATTAACGATCAGTAGCAGTAGAACCTTCACCTTAAACTCGCTGAGAGAAATATCCTTGCCATTGATTTTTGCATAAAGCATAAAAATATTATTAGTACAAAGCAATTTTACATGGTGGCACAATACAAAATTGAAATATTTTGGACTAATAATATTAGGAAACAAAATTAGAATTAGAATTTGAAAAAAGAAAACATAATAATTAACAATAAAAATCTTATGATACCATGTAACCCAACTGGAATCAAATTTGAAACCTAAAAACTATTGTACATACCAATCAACAGGAGACATAAATTCACTGTAAAAGTTGTGTGTGTGTGTGTGAGAGAGAGAGAGAGAGAGTG